AAGCTCTTAAAAGTAAGTGATACTTGAAGATGAAAAACAGTATTATTAGAACAAAATGTTCATTTTGAAATGAGAAAATATCACATGTGTTCCACCATCAATGCTAATTAAAAGATATATGGAGAATAGAGTGTACATTATTCTTATTCAAAACTTTTGGTCATCTTAAACATTATCTGGCAAATGGCGTTTGACTACAGATGTCTGCCACCTCTGGTCATTACAGTCCTCCAGCCCCGTCTCTCTCATTGATCCTTGAGCTTTGGAAGGTGGGAATGTGACTCCGCTGTTCCATTTAGAGCTGAGCACTCTACAGTTTTTCTTCCGTTCAAGTCAAGCAGTTGCTAGTCTCTATAATAGTCATCTTCTAGTGCAAATAAAAGCTTCTCTAATGAGGGCTGCGAGATCTATTTCTCTGCGGAGATAAAATAGGTGAACTCAAAATAATATTAAGTTCTTCCAAAGCGCTTATATACTACCCAAACATATTTTATTTCGTCCTGTTAACTAGACATGAATTACATTTTCTTTAGCGAGCTGTGAATGCAAGAAGAAGCTTAGTTACTCCTCCCTTTGGGCCACAACTGCATCAGTCAGCATGGTTTGTCAGGACTGCTACTGTTGTACCTGGCAGGGTTCACAGCTGGGTAAGACGTAAACTACTTACCACCTCCGATAGTTTGTATTGAACACCTAGCTCGATGAAAGCAGGGAGTTGGTATGAATCTTCCACAATCTGAACCAATTAGATCTCTCTGTGCCCTATGACTCAATTACGTTTTTGTCAACAATAATGTCTGAGAAGCTAGTTCTACAGGGTAACCAAGAGAAATAGCAATTGTCTCCAACGTTTAAGAAGGCAGTCTTTAGGACCTCACTGTCCTCCAACTCCAAAAGACATGACATGTACCTGGCACTGGGATAGCAAAATTAAGTTTTTATTTAAGAATATAGACTATACAACGCTTGTACATGGGCATGGCCAGAGTTAAATATGGAAAACTTACAAAAATTCTTCTGTGCAACACTATCATACACAGGTCTTATCAGGCCTGGGCAACAAAGAAAAAGGTAGATGAAATTATGTATGTCTTCTTCCCACCCTTGCTTCCTTAACACTGTTTATCTGTTAGCATGGCTCTTTTTTGGAGTGGAGGAAAATGTTCACCAAAGTAAGAGAGTCTCAGAAAGCAATAACTTGAGCAATTGGGGCTAAACTGCTTGTAATTTTGCATCGTGAAATTAGTTATTTATGTCATGGGCATTTTTAGAAGATCCCTGTAACAATAGTTTACCTCAAAAATAAGTTTTACTAAGCTTGTTTCCATGAATAATAGAAATTGTACATTGAAATTGAAAAGCAAAATCCACGGTTTCTATCTTCAAATTTCTTTCTTCAAAGCAGGACAGAAATCCACTGAAGTGGAATGCATGTGTATTGCAGCACTGTTTTATACCTTCTCTTTGATTGGGAGTGGAATCTGTGCTTTGCTCCTAATCGAAATAAGACAGCAAAGATGTGGGAGTGAGTGACGTGTCATGTGAAATCACATAAGACTCTGCATAAAAGCACAGTGATTCCTGCCATCCAATGAGAGAATCATTGGAAGAGAAGAGCTTTACTATGGAGCTGGGCCTGGCTTCCATAAGACAGTTACCACAAAGTTCCTAAGTCACAAAGCTGAAAGGAAAGTTTTTTTTTCTAACAAGTGGCGAGCTATGAAGGAGGTATCTGTGTACCAAAAAGGAACACAACTAGATGTTCACTTTCCAGCTACCTCTGGGGGACCTTGCAGGTCTAATTCCTTTACCACAGAATTTAGTCCATAATTAGTGTGTTGTATTAAACCACTTGGCTTGTACTAATTTGTCAAGAAGGAATATAAAATGACACCTAAAACATCTATAAGCCAACCTCCAAGACTGTTTATCAAATAATGTGTATAGCAAAATGATTACACAGAGATCTCTTAAGTTCAATTGTTTTATTATTTTTGAAACCATGGAATTAATAATTGTATTATTCTCTTTTTATCTATTAAAAACCTCAAATATTGAGAATTCATGTATCATCATTAGTCTCAAAATTATATAAATAATCTAATCAACCTGAAGATTTGAAACACAGTTCTTTCTCAATATTGGTCTGCTGTGGGATGTCTTTCTGAATGCTATGAATATGTGTTGCTCTGATTGGTTGATAAATAAAGCTATTTGGCCAATGGTGAGGCAGAATAAAGTTCAGTGGTACATTCTAACTGGAGAGAGGAAGAGGAAAGGAGAGGGGGAAGAGATGCTGTAAGCGGCTGCCAGGAGAAGCAAGATGTGAAAGCACGAGTAAGCCACAAAGCCACATGGCAACTTATAGATAAATAGAAAGGGATTAAATTATAAGAGCTGGCTAGAGCGAAGCTTGCTCCATAGGCCATCCACTTTGTAAATAATATAAGCCTATGTGTGTTTACTTGGGACTATGTAGCTTAAAATTAAAAGTACTCATTGATGTGCTCTTTGCTGTGAAATACTATTTCTCCTGCTCTGGGAATTCCTTAACTGCATATAGTACTTTGTGTAGGACTGGGGCCTTGTGGGTATTGTATGATATTTTGTTTGTGTTCTGACAAATAAAGCTTGCCTTGAGATCAGAGGGCAGAGCTAGCCACTAGTTAAGCATAGAGGTCAGGCACTCACATTTAATCCCAGCATTTGGGAGGCAGAAGCAAGAAGAACAGGAGTTCAAGGCCACCCTGGGCTACACAAGATTAAAGCAGTCTAAAAGAGAAACAGCCAGGTGGAGGTGGCTCATACCTTTGATCCCAACATTGGGAGATAGAGACAGGAATAAAAAGCAGATAGAGACAGGATCTTGACCCCATTCAGTCTAAGGATTCATAGAGACAGGATCTGCTTCATTTGGTCTGAGATGTTGTAGAGGTAAGAAGTCTCCTAGTGGCTGGCTGCTCTGCTTCTCTGATCTTTCAGCTTTTACCCTGCTAATCCGACTCTAGGTTTTTAATTGAAAAGACCAATTAAGATCATGCTTCCTGTGGGGTTCCCCTGTCTGTGTTAGGATGTCTGCTATTGTTGTTCTTGTTCACATGATCAACCCTGAAAACACATATTCAAGTAATATTCTACAGACTGATCAGGTTGAATTTATATATTTAGGAATGTACAAGTATGTAATAAATAAATATAACAACACTTAGTAATTTTAAGAAATAGAAAGGAGGGATATGGGTTTAAAGGGTGGAAAGGAAAGATGTAAATTACATAATTATAATCTCAACAAATAAAAGAAACAAAAAAGAAAAGAAACAAAAACAAAACAAGAAGACTGAAATAATCTTTTTTTCAGTATAAGCTGTGTGTTATTTTATAAGCATGTTATTGAATGTTAGTTTATGAGCATCATTATTATCTTCATAGACAGCTGCATTTTATTTGAATAAAGTATTTATATAAAGAATATGCTAAAGCTTCTAGACATGACCTTTATAAGGGTAACATAAATAAATACAAGAGTCAGCTGAGTAGCCTTTAAATCAATACCCAAAATTATATCCAAGCTTCATTCTGATGATTCGTTTGTCCATTACAGTCCCTTGCCATCTCTTGAGGTCATAGTTTCTTTAACTTCAAAATTAAAATAACCCTTATCATTAATGGTGGTGTTCATAAGAAATTTGTGCATTATAACATATAAAATTCATTTAATAATTTCATTTTACTGCTTCTTATAAATGTTTAAAAATCCCAGCAAGAAAAAAATTTCTATACTAGATTATTTTTCGTCGAATTATGTGGTTAGAATCTTCTGTGATAAGAGTTGGTTTATAGAGAAGTTATTTTAGCTTTTTATCCCTGTTCTGACAGTTGATTGTATCGTTTGTGGAGCTCTTATCCTTTCTATCTTTTCAGTTTCCTCTCATTCAAGTGAGAAAATCCACCAAGGTGATCAAAGAAAATGTCAAACACAGTAAGAACACTGAGTTAAATCATGCAGACATTTCAAAATTTTTTACTATGCCGCTGTCAGGAGGAAGTTGACAACTAGCAAACTGAAACAAAAAAGAATTACTGATTGATTAAGTTTTAGAAGAAATTAACTGTGGTACAAATTTATTTTTGTGATATAACATCAATATTTGTGTAAATTTTGCAAACCTGTATTCAACAGGAGGTAGCTTTGTGTGTGAATTGATGTGTTTCAGTAAATTAGGAGACAAAACTGGAAACACTGTTTAGTTTTCTAGAGGCTTTGTGTGTGTGCATGTGTTGGGGGTTACATATGCACATGTGTGTTCACGAATGTGGAATACAGAAGACAAACTCAGTTGTCCTTTCTAAGACACTGTTTTGTTTGTATTTTGAAAGGAAAAGTTTCTTACTTGAACTCATCATGTAGGTAATGCTGCCTGAAACATGAGTTCCAGGAATCTGCTAGTCTTCTGGGCCATGGGACTACAAGAGCATACCACCATGCTCTCCTTCGTTCTTTGTATACTATGGGGTTGGACTCAGTTCCCTGTGCTTAGCTAGCTATTTTCCCACCCACCAGGGATGCTTTGAAAATCTTGAGATAGTGTTATATAAAGTTTTATTTGCTCAAAGATATACAACTTCATATTTGGGTGTATTTACAAATTATGTACAGATTATCACTGACAACTTCTTGACAAATCCGTGACTTTACATAGTTAGCATGGTCTGTGTGTGTCTGTGTGTAGTATTTAATTCAAAAGCTATCATTTTAACAATTTCAGATGTACACTGGAGTGCTATAAACTTTACAAAAATGTTGTGCATTGGAATTCTAGAGCTTTTCACTTTGCATATCTGAAACTTGTAATGTTTTGACAAATGTCACCCCATTTCCCCTTCTACTAGACATTGACTTTTAATTTGATACATATGTAATTGCTGTTTTCTCTGAGTTATGCAACAAGGAAGACAATTATAAATACTATGCCTAAGGAATGCATAAGAATACAGTTTTCATAAAAAACATTATGTATTTAATTTATAGAGAGATAAATAATGCCAAGAGACAGATAACACAACTGCTTAGGAATGTTTATTCATAAATTAAATCTCAATGAAGTGTCACTGGGGCCACCCTTGGAATATGGTGGAGTATAAGTAGGTGGAGTGACACTGGGATCCTAAACCTCAGCCTTGTCAATGAATTTTGAGTTTATCTGTGTACTTCAGAGCATCTCATTTGTATGATCTTCCTAGTGAAAGTTTATCACTTGTAAATGACTACAAATACTTTTGTTTATCAATGTGAAGACTAAACTAACAATGTCGATACAGGAGTTAGTCCTATAGTTGGTGTATGGCACATCATAAATAAAATATAGTATAATAATCTAAGCTAGAGAAACGTATTTCTATAAATGCTTTTATGTTTAGAGTCCTCATGCTGAGCAGAGGTATGTCCATGCCTCAAGGGAAGGTGTTTTCACGGGAAAATTTGTCTGACCGTTGGCTGACCACAGGTCTCAAGTCGGACTCTTGTACGTTCTTCATGTTGAGATGGTTTCTTCACCCTCCAGCTTTGATGATGATGATACTATAACCATTATAACAGAGAAAGAAAAAAGAAATAGTTTAGCTAGTCTTCCCTAAAGTAAAGACCCTTGAATTTGCACATACAACTTCCTGACACATCCTATTTGAATAATGCAAATAAATACCATAGTTATTGTTAACTGGAAACAGATGAGAAGTGATTAGAATTATATATGTGCACCTAAAATACGGACCTCCATTAGTTAACAAGAGGAAAATGACAGACACTGATACAAGATGAACATACCAATCATATCTGCTGTGCAAATTCAACTGTTTCAGTTATGCATTATGAAAAACAGTTCCCATATATTTCTTACAAGCAATTAATATGTATTACAGGAAGGCTTATATTATGGAAAATACATTATACCCTTTAATAATATTTCTTGTTTTATTTTTAGAAGTTTTTAAAAAATTGTTTGTTTATTTTATCTAATGATCACATTATCATAGATATTTCATGTATATATCAATATTTATAATTTTATATATTTATATTTATATAATATATTTATATATTTGTAATTTTAATAAATGTAGTACAATATACATACACAAAAGGAAAGACATGTTTCCTCTCTCATATCTTTTCTTACACATCTATGACTAATGTTAGTCTAGTGTACAGTTCCTAAAAGGTTGACAGGCAGACACTGAGACCTGAAGTGAAGATCAGCATTTGGCTGGGACATAATATGAAAAAATACTATTTGAATAATGTTTTCCCACGGAGGTGTCAGGTGGTTGTGCCAGTGGTACTGAGGAGGAATGAATGACTGTATTACAAAGAACAGGCTGGAAAAGAAAACAATTGAAGACCTTTTCAAAGTTAAAAAGAATTGTGAGATCTCAGAAAGTTGGCTGAGGAATACAGAACATTACAACCACAAACAAGTATCTACTTAAACACATAAGAATACAGATGCAATATGTTTCATGTTCAGGAAACACCAAACTAGCATTTTTATTGTAGAAATTTTACTGATCAAATATTTTATGGAATAAAAATATCTAGGGCTCCCCTGACCCATCAAAGAGGTATTCCATTCCTACCACTGGGGATTTTTATTTTTTTTTTATTTATTTATTTATTCTTTTGATTTTTCAAGACAGGGTTTCTCTGTGTAGCTTTGTGCCTTTCCTGGATCTCACTCTGTAGACCAGGCTGGCCTCTAACGCACAAAGATCCACCTGCCTCTGCCTCCTGAGTGCTGGGATTAAAGGCATGTGCCACTACCACCTGGCAGGGATTTTTATTTAATGATCTGTTTTGTTGCCTGAAAGAAGTAAATAATAAGACATATTCCTTGAGACACATACACACCTGGCTTATAGTATATAGAGAAACAGGCTGGAACTGAACTACAAGCATCCTCCCTGCTGGCTAGACTTCATAATACCTTAACATGCTATACAGGCTTCTGGGAGAGAAAAGGCAACAGCAGTCTATCCTAGCTATGAATCCTGTGAACAATCATACCACATACCAACCTGACATGTATGATAACTGTTATGGGAGTAATCAACCATCCTGACTGGTTTCACAGCCTGGCCCACATGAGATATCTCAAGCCTGGTACAAAAACCTGCTTTAAAAAACAAGCAAACAAAATCTAACCATTGTACTGAGGAGGTCATAGCCCCTAAGAGTAACATAACTATTGTAGCTTAGCTAAATTGGCAGGGTATCCAAGTGTTTCTAAACATCGATGTTTATGTCCAACTATAAATTCTACCTTTTGCCTTAATCATTTATAACGAACAATGGTGACTACAGACTCTCAGAGCATCAAAGTGTTCCAAAAAAGAGACTGTTGAGTGAAGTATCTACAGGACACTTACATAACCCCTTTTACAAACACGTATTTTATCCTGCTCTCAACATTTCTTGGTATCCATATATGTCTGTAACAACAATTAATGGAAAATAAAGCCATGAATTTGAAAGAGAGAAAGGAAGCATACATGGGAGGATTTGTAGATAGGAGAGGGAAGGGAGAAAAGATCTGACTATATTATAATGAAATAAAAGAATAATTCAGGCCTGAAGAAGAGAATAAGCATATTTTATTTTTTTTGAAAATTCCATATATGAGTATTGTTGTTATAACATTCCACCCAACACTATTTCAATTCCTACTTTTCCTACACCTCCCAATTCCACTCAAATTAATGACCTCTTCATTTAAATTATTGTTGCTCAATCCACATAATGAGAGCATCTTTAACATCTGAAAACATAGAGGATAAATCTTCCAAGGCCCCACTTCTGTGTACATAGCTATAGGCAATTAATGGTTGTCAAGAAAGGATAAACAATTTTCTCCAGGAAAAAGCTCCATGACAGTTTATTCAAGCTCATGTTCATCGCTAAACACATATACATATATGTAACAATAAGTAAATTGACTCAGGAGGTTTATTCAAAGGCACCACTCTCTTGTAAGGCTTAGGGAATAGTCCATAAGAAACAGAATGTCACAGAGAGAAAATAGGAAGAAGGACAAAAATGCTATTTATTGGCCATGACAAACTGTTGTAAACATGAGTACAGAGTACATACAGGTGCAGGCACTGGGCCTGTTAAATTACGTATCAATGGACAGGTAGGGGCTCATGAAACCATATCTGTCCATGCTGAATTAAAGGCTACTCAAACTTTCTAAAAGTTGATTCAGTATTATCAGACGTGTACCCACCTGTGAGCTCATAAAGATATACTGAGTATCTCCATGCATATGTTCACAGAAATATTCCTAGTTGTATCAGGTGGATCACAAAATAAAACAAAAAGACATGAACATGCAAAAGCAACCTGTAGGAATAAGTGAACTTAACAGAGTGATGAGGGAGATAAGATGGGTTGTAGGGAAACAGTAATCAGAGTGCATTATGCAGGATTTATGAAGTTGTTAAGAATAAATTTAATTCCTAAAAAAAGAGATATACAGATAGATGGAATGATTACTTTAAAGACATAGATAGTCACAAAGTAAAAGAAGAATCTAGGAAAGCCGATTGTATTTATATATTTGCATATATTACACACACATATAATGTTACAAATATGTCTGTGTCAGTGTGTGTGCAAGTGTGTTTATGTATGTAAAAAGAAAGAGGCCACATGTCATGAATTTAAAAGGGGCAAGGCAGTGCTACATGCAGCTTGGAGGGATAAGATGTAAAGGGAAAATGACCTAATTATATTTTCGATTAAAAAAGTAAAAATCAAAAACAAATTATACAGAGACATACGTTGTCTGGAAATGCTTGGGCAACATGACACATTAATTTTCATAATAATAGTAACATTTTCAAGTTTCTTTTTTTTTGTGGTTTTTTGAGACAGGGTTTCTCTGTGTAGCTTTGCACCTTTCCTGGATCTCGCTCTGTAGACCAGGCTGGCCTCGAACTCACAAAGATCCACCTGCCTCTGCCTCCCGAGTGTTGGGATTAAAGTTTCAATAACATACTTTTACTAATGGGTAAAATGAATGGTTTAAAGGTAACCAATCAGTAGAGCACTTAAGTAATACAAAACACAAAAGGTACTGGACACTATCCAACAAAAATGAATCTTTGTAATCAGAAGCTTGATAAAAATGCTTTGAAAGATTTTAATTGAAATAAAATTATATCAGATTCCAATCTTCCTTTGCTTCTTTCAACTCTCTGAGATACTCTGCTTTCAAACTCTCCCATTGCGCCCAAATCTCAAGTTCTTAGCCTCTTTTTCTTTGATTATCTTTTGTTACATATATGTATATGCATATTCAAATATATGTATGTGTATGCACATATATATAAGTGTGTGTTTGTGTGTAAAACCTGGTAATTCTGTTTTTGTTGTTTGTGTGTATATAGTTTAAGAGGCAGACCTCTGCATTGGGGTGTTGCCTGCAGTTGTATGTCTAAAGGACAGACACTGTGAAAGTTTCCCCATTTTGCCTTTACACATCCATTGATTTTGCCTTTGTTCAGGTAATTTTTGTGCAGTAATTTCTAGAAGAGACTGTTTCAGAGCCAGCATCCTAGCATACTTCCTTCTACAGTCTGTCTGCTGCCTCTACGGCAATGCAGGGAAAATTCTTCAACATAAAGGATTGGACAGTGAGTTATTGACTTTAATTTAAAGGGAAATAGATAACCTAACTTCCATGAAAATCAGAAACTGTTATACAAGATCACAGATGGCTTGCTTCAACAAAGAGCATATGTCCTGCATGTGTTGAGATCCTCTAAGTTTTATACATAACACCAGATGCAAAACTATAATACCAAACAAACTTTGCACCGAGAATATTATCAACACATTGATAAACATTCTACAGAATGGGAAACTATTTTCTAGTCGTGCATTTTAGAAGAGGTGGGCCCATAAATTACCAGTAATTTTCAACAACAGCAGGAAAAATTCAAATAACTTAAATAGACCTTACTACAAAGAGATGTGCACTTCTTCACATCCATCAGGATGTCTGGGACAAGAAAATAAGTAAAGAGTATGATCAAAGATGTAAAGAATGTAGGAATCTGCATCATACAGGTTGGTACATGAAATGGCATAATGGCTTTGAAATGAACTATATTGGGTCCTTAAGAATTAGAAAGAATGAATAAATTACCTGGAAAATCTCTCTCTCTCTCTCTCTATATATATATATAAACACACACACACACACACACACACACACACACACACACACATATATATATATATGAACATTCCTGTTCATGGAAAACTTTTCCTTAAAAGGAATGGAATATAAACAGCCCAGGTCTGTGGCAGATAAATAAATATGCAAATAATAAAATGTGTATATGTAGAATATAATACTTCTGACCATTTCAAGGGAGGAAATAGTCATGCATATTCTGACACAAGTTAACTTGAGAACACCATACATAGTGCAACACTCCAATTGTAAAAGCACAAAAATTATGTTATTGCATACACTTAAGTTATGTATGTAAAGAACAGACAGAGAATGGCATTCTGGAGTTGGATAGCAGTGATGGTTATAAATGTATAACATTTTTGAAATTTATATTTAATATGGTTAAATATAAATAAAGAGTTAAATAGCTAGGAAGGTAAGATTTTCTTTGTTTGATCTTTATTTATTATTTATTTTTATTAAAATTTTTATTCATTCCACATACCAACCACAGATTCCCCCCTCATCCCTCCCCCTGCTTCCCCCTACGCAGCCTTCCTCTCCAGTCCACCCCCATGCCCTCCTCCAGTAAGGTTTGGCGTCCCATGGAGAATTAGCGAAACCTGCACTTGCAGCTGAAGAACGTCCAAGCCCCTCCCCAAGGCTGCGCAAGTTTTGTTAATATGTTTAATCAAAATATAAAACATGAATCTGCAAATAAATGTATAAATCTTACATCCCAAACAAGTGATCAAGGTGGACATTTGTAAATATTCATAATATATACACATATATGCATGAATATACATATATATTATATGTACATATACATATGCAGAGAAGCAAATAATGTACAAATTTAATTTAGTCAACTCTAACAAATGAAAACTTTTATGAATTATAGATAAATATTAAAATTCCTTACTCTGTTGAAGCAAACGTAAACTATTTTTATGTTCCTGTTTAAGATAATTTGTATATTGATACAAATACAAAACTATATTTGTTATAATGTACATATATTTCTGCTCTTATTTGAAATATTTGTATATTGATGCAAATGTAAATTTATATTTGTCATACTTTATGTATGTTCTACTTCTGTTTAGGATATTCGGTATATTGATATTTATTTAAGATTTTTGTCATATTGCATATCGCACTATATATTCCTACCTCTGTTATAAATATCTTGTGTATTGTCACAATTTTGAAGTCATCATTCTTTACCATACATTTGTTTATAGACTATTTACCTTGTTTACATGAAACCTTAGTCCTTAGGTTATTTCAGTAGATAAGACTTACAGATTTATAGTCACCTATGCTTGTCATCACTAGAGTTACCTTACTTAGGTTATTCAGATTTACAGATACATAGGTCAGATGGACAGGTAATCTTCAAACACTTCATAAACCTAGAGAATGTGGCATTTAAGTAACTTAGAATTCTGTTGACATGAGAGACACAATTGCTCCTGGCAGCACCAATTTGATCCCGAGAGAAGGTTGGGCTTCTAAGACATTTCCATTTGGAAGTTTGTCTTCTTGGCACAAAATGGCCTACTGGGCAAAGAACTGCCCTTGCCTCGACTGCTGAGAGTACAAATGCAATGCTGTCCTTTCTGGACAAGCGGGCCACAAGGAAAGCAATCACTGTACTCTGCTGCCAAGACAGGGTAAGATGGTCTTTCAGCATTCCTGCTTCTGAAAATGGTCTGTCAGATACTCTAGGCCTGTAGCCAATTTGAATGCACCAACAATGCTGAGAAACATTAGGTGACTGTCCAGGCTGCCAACTGTCTCAATCTACTCTTGCAAGATTCCCAAAAGTTGCTTGCATCCATCTACCATTTCTTAGGTACCATTATATTCCTTCTCAGGTCTTTGATGTGATTGAAGACTAGCAGTTATGGTTACAACTTAGTATATATATATATATATATATATATATATATATATATATATATATAATCTCTTAGATAGAACATATTAAGTGTTAGATTCAGGTTCTTTAGGATAGGACACCTTTTGGAATGATCTTTGTAACATACCATTTACCTACGCTCTAGACTTCTATGGATTTTAGTATGTGTTTCTTGCTTGATATTGTTTGCATTGATTGTAGTTCCATCTTATCTAGGTCACTATCCCTCATTACTCCTGGACAATATTTGGTAACCATTCCTTTGTATATAGTCTTGTATTAAGTTAGAACCTTCTTATTTAGACAAAAAGGAGGAGATGTAGTGGGTAGCCATTCCAGCTTTGGTCTGGAAGTTCCAACCCCCATTGAGGCTTTGGTAACTATCACACCTACAAGGCGGGGCCAAGGGAGGGCCCTGAAGACCCGAGATCTGGATGCGCGGCTCTCTCTTGTTCCTGGACCCTGAACGGTGGAGGTTGACCGAGCAGAGCTCCAAAGAACACGACTGGACTGCGATACACCTTCCCCAGACCCTGTGACCTACCTATCCCCTCATTTGTAAGTTGCACCACTAATAAACTTTCCTTTTAACTACGTGGAGTGGCCTTAATAATTTCACCAATATTACTCGAATTGTGAGTGTGTAATTGTGAGTATTTGAGAAGATCATCAAATCTACTAGTTAAATTGTGGATATTGCAGTTCATTTAAATTTAAACAAATTTTGTGTTGAATATAAAGGCAAAATGCCAGTTCAATTTAGCAAAATCTCAGGGAGAAAATTAGCATTTTATTCAGGAAAAATACATCTTGAAAACAGTGATTCTATTAATGTAATTTTTATTTGATTTTCAGTATTTAAACTCATGTATTGATTCTACATAGAATAAAAATATACTCAAAAATATTTAATTTTGTTATTTGAAAACATTAAACACAAGTTTCTTGTTTTTTTTGTTTTTCCTTACATTTTTCTCTTAGTGAAATATTAAAGGGTGACAATTGTACTTAGAACAACTAGGTAGTCAAACTAAAGATGTAAACCTTTCTTTCTGTAGTACTTCATCTCTGATTTTACTTTACAGACATCATACATAGAAAGTAACTCAATTTCCAACTGTGTGGGAAGACATTTGGGAAGTAGAATCCTGTAACACAAATCATTAAATGGTCTTATTAAATAAAAAAACCCAGAGCCAGACATTGTGGTGAATGCTGAAAGATCAGAGAAGCAGAACAAGCCACAGCTAACTTCACCTCACCAACTCCTCAGCCAATCTTGTTTCCTCAGACTGAAATTCTCTATGTCCTCACCCCAATGGATCTCAGCTGAAATGCTTAAAAGCATAAAAGCCTTTAGTTATTGGTCCTCATGCCTTATATACCTATCAGCTTCCTACCATCACTTCCTGGAATTAAAAGCATATGTCTTTCCCAAGCAAGACATGAGATTTCAAGTGCTGGGATTAAAGGTGTGTGTCACCATGCCTGGCTGTTTCCAGTGTGGCCTTGAACTCACAGAGATCCAGATGGATCTCTGCCTCCCAAGTGATTGGATTAAAGGTGTGTGGGCCACCATTTTCTGGCTTCTATGTCTATCTAGTGGCTGTTCTGTTCTCTGACCTCAGATAAGTTTATTAGGGTATACAATATATTGGGGGACGCAATATCACCACAGAATCCTATATCCATACCAATCCATTTGTAAACCAAAAGCTGCCAGGAGGTATTTGAAATTGTATTTTATTGCCTTAGCTGCATATACATACCTACATACACACATCTGTATATGTGTGTGTGTATACATATGTATGTATGTTTGTATGTGTGTGTGTTAAACAGACATGCTATTCATAAGCTATTTTTGTTGTCAATGTTAAAACATTAGGAAATAATCACCACTTTTTAAAAACACTGATTATTTTTTGAGTTGGACATGGCAGAAGGTACATAAATATGAGTGGTAAACATTTTTAGTTAGTAAACACAGGCTGTTTGCCTACATCCTAACCTTGGTTTCCTTATGCCATAGATGATGAATCTAAAGCATGCTGAGGCAGTATTTGCCTATTAATACAATGTGTTACATATTGGTTTTTAAAGTTTTTCCTTTTAAGCTTTCATGAGCATCCATAATCAGAGAATAGTTATAACCCTTCATTGTTCTTAGGGTCTTTCATATATCACTAAGTACACAAAGTGCTTTATTTGAGGAACTCTGTAAACAAAATGCTTAGATGATGAATGTTTACAATTTGTTCTTTCATTACTGTGGGATTCTAATAAAAACCATGCCACAAAGTGAGAATGTATGCGTAGAGACCATAAACATACCTGTCCCACAGAATGTTTCTTTATTGTCATGTACCTCACCATCTCCATTGCTGTTTGCTGCTTCACTGCACATCAGTGACAAACTGTACACAACTTTTCTGCCCTATTCATAAAGAGAAAGTGCATGTGTTAGGGGGAAGTTGTAGTAAACGCCATGTCAAAATGGGGGGAAAATTTTTAAACAAATAACCAAAACAGTAGTAAGATATAAGGGAACACAGGCAAGAGTTCTGTAGCTCTGTTTAGACAAACCGGGTTACTTCTTTTGTTGTATGATACAGTATCTCACAGTAGCCCAGGCTCTTTATAAAGTTGCTGCAGTAATCTTCCTGTCAGTGCTTCTCACATGCTGAAGAAAATATTCATATGGATGAAATAAAGTTAAATTCTCAGTGTCATATATTGAACAGCTGTAGAAAGTTCTGCATTCTTTTGAATGGTAAGACAACATTGACTGCAGCTGAAATCTGACAAGGAACTTTCATTTCCCACAACAAGTCTCAAAGCCTCTAACATCAGCAAGTCTTCACTTGGGAAAACTGAAATACAATTAAAACAGTGAAAGCAATCCCATTTCTCTTCTTCTGAAAATTTAATTTCTTATAGTAACACGGAAGCCAGAGGGTCCTCTGCTATTACCTTCACAAGTGAGAATTTTCATGAACAATAATATATTTCAAAATTTATTTACACTACAATTTATAATCTTGTTTTTTTCATCTATTGTTAATACAAAAGAGTATCCAATGTTTACCTCACAATGTAAATTAGTCTGTATCTTTCCCTTAGGGAAATTGTTAAACCAGATGTGAATGCAAGCATGGTTCAGAATGTTAAACAGGGAAGGTGTCCTAATAAAGTAATGCTTAAGATCAGGCCACAAAGTGAGAGCACAAAGGTCATCCCTCTAAGGCCAAGGTTACATTGTAATATAAGGCTCTCTCTCTCTCTCTCTCTCTCTCTCTCTCTCTCTCTCTCTCTCTCTCTTTAAAATAGAATTTTACTTTAAATTTCATTAAGCATATTTCTCTTCATTATTTTTCAAAGGAAGACCAAATCAAATGTTATCAAGGTAAGAAAGGGAAAGTGAGAAATGATGAAAATGAACCTCACAATTCAATGTCTAAGTCACATTATTTCATACCATGGGAATATCATGATGTATTTCACTTATTGTTAGTGAGAAATCATTCATAATTAGGTTTGAAGAATATGCCACAATGTTTTTATAGTTGTAAACACTTCAAAATGTTTATTGTGAAAAGCATACAATACAACCTGCCTGTTTCACTCCATGTTGTGCCTCTATTAAGTTCCATTTTAGCATATTCCTGGCTTATTACACTGTATAACTGCTGCAGGCCATAGGAATATAACGTAAGAACTCAGTTGGTTATGGCAAAGTCACTACCTGGAGGGATTAAGGAATTCCTCAAGAGGAAGTCAAGTTCCAAGGAGCTTTTGATGTTACTTGGCTTGTTATATATCAGCTGTCTTCTGTTATGAAAATCATGTGTGCCTTCATAGTTTTCCCAATTGACTTTTCCCTAAGAAGGGCTAACAGTGTGGACTGATCACTCTCTGGACATACACATTCAAGGTATTTGGAGAACAGCCTTAGGAAAGACTTTCTCTGGAATCAGATATCTCCCTTGGCCACTTTCAAGGACTAGCAGTAACAACAGTCCACATTCAAGTCTCCTAATTTAAGGTAAATTCCAAAAAGAGACACCGCCCAGGTCAGGTGGACGTTAAGTAACAGCTTTACACAATTTAGCTCATACCCTCCTTTCTTACAGCCTTACTAACTTTGTAGACCGCTAACTCCTTACCTAACCACTTCTAGGAATATTTAGATAACTTTCTGTGCTGACAGCTATGCTCAGTCAGAACCCCAGTTCAAGCCTCCCTGTAATTATCATTATTGGCAGCATCTGGCCAGGTCCATCCCTAGATGGAGGAAAGTACCTTATCAGAGATACTTCTGTACTCTCTGAGAACAGACTTAAGCATCCAGGCTACCTGTTTGAGAAGGCCTGATGGATGTGCCAATTAAGCTTAACTTCCTCCTTTCCCAAACCTTACCTCCAGTTCCAGATCTCCCTTTAACTATCACCAGAGGCATCTAGCTGTACACAGGTTGCCTAGTGACTGAGCACACTTTCTCCCACCCTGAAGAAATAAATGGCAGATAGCTTGGACAGATAGGAGCCACAGGAAAAAAGAAGACAGTTTTATTTTCTCCCCTTGACCTAGCAACTTATAGATTCTTAACATTTTCTACCAATCACTTTTAAGACTATAGTTGAGCACATACGATTCCCTCTTCTTAGATATTACCTGAATTCAGCCTTTAGTTAATTCATTTCCCCATTGGTCACTTCCCTTTGGGGTTGCAAATGATAATAATGGTTACTGCCCCTCTATGTGATTCTTATCACCCCTCTGTTTGACCCCGGAAGCCTGGCTTTGCACTGCTAGGGAATACTGTATGTAAGTGTATATATACCAGGACTTCCAGGGCACAGTGGGTCAGAGAAGAGAAAAGAGAATGGAAGAACTAGATGGGTAAGAACTTGAGAGGACAGTGGGACAGCGAATGGGGAGGAATAAAGAGGATTTTGACCAGAGAGTACGTGTGGACAAGATGGAAGAAGAGGAAGAGTCAGATGGGGAAGTACTAGCTAGTTAAGAACAAGATAAAATGGATCTAAATGAGGCAGAATTAAGATGAGAGAATTAAGATAAAACTTAGAGGGAACAGTAGATAAATATAGAGAGAAATCAGGCAAGAAAGTAGCTAGGCACGAGAACAAATCTGAAGCTGTCTATATAGGATGTTATGCCAGAGGAATTAAAGCAAGTGGACTGTAGAGCTCGGTGTGCTGAGATTCTATTTCCTGAAAATAGTCCTCGCCATTAGTAGTTCTCTCTCCTGAGCACCTGGGATGTATAATATTAAGGCTGGTCCCGCTAATATTATACAAGATATAACTAGCATTTTCATCATATTGCCACGCTAGGCAATTTGTGGATATATACTCAAATGACTCTAACGCCCCACCATAGTGATACTTTCACATCCATGTTTGTTGCTACTCTTCTCATAATGTCAATGGAACTAAACCAACCTACATATTAAATGTATAGATCACTGGATTATGAAAATGTGTTACTCTATACATTCCAATTTATTTTCAGCCATAAAGAAAAAGGAAATTGAAAAGTTTCCAAGAATGTGGATAAAGATAGAAAATAATATTTTAAGTAACACAACCTAGGTTCAAAAAGACAAATACTGTATATTATCATTTACATACAGATCCTAGCTTCTAGCTATCATGTATGTGTAATTAATGTTTGAAGAAGTGTGGACAGAGTTTGTTACATCAAAGTTTTTTTTTATAATATTGTAAAATGTGTTGAGGATCATGGCAATAAATTAACACAGAATAAACAAAAAGGACCTGTCTAAGCTAAACTATGATCCTATGATATAAGGCTTGGGTAGAGTTCAAAAATAGGCATCAGAACCTGCGTTAACTGGGTTGATGTTGACACAAAAAGATTTTAAAAGAACATTCTCAGTAGCAAGGAAACTAGCACTTGTGATCACTAATTGTATTTCCATGATTATATAACCTACAGCTAATGTACTAAAAATTGCTGTTATGATGTTACATAGGTGGCAATTATCATGAAAGCATTTGACTATACCCATTCATATTAACGGTACAGTCTTCATTTATAGGTCTGTAAACACTTGAGGCTCTATTACCTACTGACATTATTTTACTCTGTTGACAGAACACATTATCTTTTGTTTTATGCATGAAATAGTGTGAATCAAGGAAAGAATCACCAAAAGGCACAGTTAAAGTGCCTGTAACAGTGACTGTAAAATCACACTTGAGCATTCGAGGAATGATTGCAGGCACTATTTACATTTTTGCTATTTGAATTACTTTACAAAAAAATGGATAGAGTGTCTCCAATTACATGAATAATCCTGTTATTTAAAATGTCAGAAAATAAGGCAGGGACTGTAACTCATCACTCTCCTAGCTTGTGGAAGGGCCTGGGTTCAATATTCCCAACATTAATATTCAAGGTAGAAATATGAGAGTCATTGAACTGAGAAAAATTTTCATAAGTAGACAATTTTACTAATAAAATTGGGAGCTCTTAAAATAGACACTCAAATATAAATACAGATGATTGGTAAATAATCTTTAAACAATGTAATAAGTTCATAATCAATTTCTGCTTCCAGGCCTTGAATTGCTTTCTCTACATTATTGTTACCATTTCTATGTGTCCTTAATTGAAGATATTCTTTGAATGAGAAATTGCATAAGATACAACTAATAGGGTAGACCCTAACTCGATGATTATTATTTATTCAGAAAATAATATGAAGAGAAAGACAGTGAGGAAACCATGTGACTAAAGACAAGACATTGCAGGCATACAACTATCAGCCAAGAAATACTAGTCACTGATGGCCACCAGGACAGCTAGGGAGTAGAAAGGTAGGATGCCACTCAAGGTTTTGATAGGAGTATTTGCTACTGACATCCTGGTTTCAGATTCTGTGCAAGCAAGTAGTACTCTTTTAATTCATTCATTTATTTCACTTGTATAAACTCGAAGTATAGGTTACATTGTAAAATTAGAAAATCATATTATTAGTTTTATATTTTTTAAATATTTTTATTAGTTTAAAAAACAGGAGGTGATAACATCGAATGTCAATGAGATCAAATAACATTTAATTACTACTACACATTATAGCAAATAGAGGAATGATAGCGGGCGGGGGGGGCACTATGTCTGTGTCTGTATGTTTCTTTGTGTTCACATTCCATGTGTGCAGGCTCAAGTGGAGGTAAGAGAAGCATATTAGATCCCCTTCAATTGAACCTACATGTAATTCTAAGATGCCTGATGTAGTTGTTGGGAAATGAACTCAAATTTCTGGGAACTGCGTTAAATCCTCTGGATAAACAAAAAGAGTTGTTAATTGATGAGCTATCTCTTTCTCCAAGAAGATAGGGCTTTTATTGTTAAAGCATATGTTGTAAGTAAACAATAAAGGTCTTT